GATTATAGAACGCCAATTGGCTGATGGTTTTCGATTATTTTCATCGTGCTTGGACTTTTTGTAATCTGTTTGTTATAAAATGTGGATACAGCCTACAGTTTGTCTAGTCATCGAGAAAAGAAGCCCCTCCCCACAATGAGCAAAATAGATGAGACAAGCGATTGAAGTGATTGTTGGATAAATGGACAAGTTCAGCGTTTATTTGTAACATGTCAAGTGTTAAGTCAGTGTGATATAATCTACTGAGACGCGTCTAGGTGGGCTTAAATTATAGTTCGAATAAAATTTTTGCTTAATAATGTCTTATACAACTGAAATAAGTTCCATCAATAAGCTTAGGTATATCAAGATATTAGTTCACTTTTGTATTGGTTGCTTGAATCTTCCTACTGATGTTTAGGAAAGCTGTATTCGAATTGGGATTACCAATTGCAGCGTGGCGTCGAGTTGATATTAACTATGAACACCGCTACCAAGAAACACGTGCCAATTAGATCAGAAGGCGTAAGAAGCTCGTTCCAAATGACTCCATAAAATCCCCGAGAAGCCAAATATCAGAAGACAGTTAATGGACCAAGTCGAGGTTTATTAGCTGGCGATCTCGTGGCATCGAAAGGATACCGAGATCGTGCCAGGATACAACCTTGGTTACAGAAGGTAACCGAATTCGCGCGAAGTTACAATCGAAGTGTAAGTAAGTGAATGGAAGCACAAAATAGCTGTCATTAGCACAGTCAAACAAAAGCACGTTAAAACAAACACTGGTACAGTTGGTTATAATAATAATTGTTTTTATTAAACCAGTCGTGTTCTCGTGATAAACGTGAGTCACTACAGGAGCCCCCCGCTAGAAAGGGTTTACACTTTCGATAAATAGCGGTTTGAATCGTGGGACTGGTCGGCTGACGAGCGATTGTAGGACGGAAGAATTGGCGAACAGGAAAGCGATCGTTGATCGTCGAGTTGCCAACGAAGGTCGTTTTCGGAGAACGGTACCAGGAGCGATGTGTTGTATTTATTGCTTGAGTTGGCATGCTATACCAGAGTGGTTTGTATCCAGAATCTGAAGAGGGCGTTCGTAGAGGTGCGCACCAAAAACGCTGGAGACGTAGGACGAAACCACGTTGAGCCAAAAGACCAGAAGCGACCGTAACGACCAAGTTCGAGACCAAGCGTATGCCAAGCATTCGAAACCAATATATCGACTGAGTACGTTGACAAGAGCATGGGTGATCAGGCCAGCTTTCGCCAAAGTTGACTGAAGTCGACGGAACCAAACGGAGATGATCGAAGGCGTGGGCTCAGGAAACAAAAAGAAAATCAAAAAAAGAGGAGTGTAGCATGCGTGTAGTATAGGAATAACCCTACACCGTATCGGTTGTTGACTGTGCAACTATTCGCGGAAGCGTACGGGTAACCGTACTCGGCGACCGGAACGTGAGACGACAGTCTCGTTCGCGTCGCGTGAGCCTGCAATCTCATCCGAAGTCGAGGGCGGCGTGGTCTGCTGATCTGGGCGTGAGACTGTCGTCTCGTCCGTAGACGGTGCAGATGACGCGTGCTGTTGACTGGGACGTGAGAATGAGGTCTCAGATGTATCTAGCGTGGGACCCGAAGAAGATTTAAGGATCCCGCTAGGTTTAATAGGTCTAGCATTGAATCTCAGGTTACCAGATAGGGCACTGTCATCGACGTGTGCTGGTTTGAGACGATCAATGCTGACGATCTCGACGCGTCCATATCGATCAACCTTGAAGGTATTTTCGTGACGAGCGATCACGTGAAAAGGGCCTTCGTAAGGTTGTTGCGAAGGTTTGCGTACCGAATCTACTCGTATGAAAACATGTGAACAGGTAGATAACTCTCGAGGGAGAGCGACCTGTCGATGTTGTATTCGAGTTGACACCGGAGGCAGCGTTCGCATAAATGCAGACAGTCGTTGGACGTAGTCTGATTTAGCGAAATTAGGTCTGCTCCGTGGTGTGAAGAATTCTCCGGGCAGACGCAATGTCGTGCCGTATACCATTTCAGCGGAGGAACATTGGATATCTGCCTTTAAGTTCGTTCTCATCCCTAAAAGAACGAGCGATAAGGTTTCGTGCCAGTTGCCATTTTCGTGTGCTCGTAGAGCACTTTTAAATTGGCAGTGAAACCGTTTACTTAACCATTTGGTGCTGGGTGGTAGACGGATATGCTTATGCGTATGCATTCCGTACCAAGCAGCCGGGTCAGCGAGGAGAATCGTTAATAGGGTAACATTTGTCGAATAAAGCGTGGAATTCATCATCACGCGAATAAAAAGTGACAAGGATTCGGTACACATATGTGTGAGTCTATTATATTAATACTATTCTTATCGTTATCCGTCATGTCGCGTATATTATATATTAAAAAATATGAAAATATACGACAGACGTGGATAGATAAATCATAGACTCACCAAATTGGCTTCTTTGGAAGATTTGATCAGAGGATGAGGCGTGTTCCAAAATACGGGTCACCAATTGTATTCGAATTGGGATTACCAATTGTAGCGTGGCGTCGAGTTGAGATTAACTATGAACACCGCTACCAAGAAACACGTGCCAATTAGATCAGAAGGCGTAAGAAGCTCGTTCCAAATGACTCCATAAAATCCCCGAGAAGCCAAATATCAGAAGACAGTTAATGGACCAAGTCGAGGTTTATTAGCTGGCGATCTCGTGGCATCGAAAGGATACCGAGATCGTGCCAGGATACAACCTTGGTTACAGAAGGTAACCGAATTCGCGCGAAGTTACAATCGAAGTGTAAGTAAGTGAATGGAAGCACAAAATAGCTGTCATTAGCACAGTCAAACAAAAGCACGTTAAAACAAACACTGGTACAGTTGGTTATAATAATAATTGTTTTTATTAAACCAGTCGTGTTCTCGTGATAAACGTGAGTCACTACAGGAGCCCCCCGCTAGAAAGGGTTTACACTTTCGATAAATAGCGGTTTGAATCGTGGGACTGGTCGGCTGACGAGCGATTGTAGGACGGAAGAATTGGCGAACAGGAAAGCGATCGTTGATCGTCGAGTTGCCATCGAAGGTCGTTTTCGGAGAACGGTACCAGGAGCGATGTGTTGTATTTATTGCTTGAGTTGGCATGCTATACCAGAGTGGTTTGTATCCAGAATCTGAAGAGGGCGTTCGTAGAGGTGCGCACCAAAAACGCTGGAGACGTAGGACGAAACCACGTTGAGCCAAAAGACCAGAAGCGACCGTAACGACCAAGTTCGAGACCAAGCGTATGCCAAGCATTCGAAACCAATATATCGACTGAGTACGTTGACAAGAGCATGGGTGATCAGGCCAGCTTTCGCCAAAGTTGACTGAAGTCGACGGAACCAAACGGAGATGATCGAAGGCGTGGGCTCAGGAAACAAAAAGAAAATCAAAAAAAGAGGAGTGTAGCATGCGTGTAGTATAGGAATAACCCTACACCGTATCGGTTGTTGACTGTGCAACTATTCGCGGAAGCGTACGGGTAACCGTACTCGGCGACCGGAACGTGAGACGACAGTCTCGTTCACGTCGCGTGAGCCTGCAATCTCATCCGAAGTCGAGGGCGGCGTGGTCTGCTGATCTGGGCGTGAGACTGTCGTCTCGTCCGTAGACGGTGCAGATGACGCGTGCTGTTGACTGGGACGTGAGAATGAGGTCTCAGATGTATCTAGCGTGGGACCCGAAGAAGATTTAAGGATCCCGCTAGGTTTAATAGGTCTAGCATTGAATCTCAGGTTACCAGATAGGGCACTGTCATCGACGTGTGCTGGTTTGAGACGATCAATGCTGACGATCTCGACGCGTCCATATCGATCAACCTTGAAGGTATTTTCGTGACGAGCGATCACGTGAAAAGGGCCTTCGTAAGGTTGTTGCGAAGGTTTGCGTACCGAATCTACTCGTATGAAAACATGTGAACAGGTAGATAACTCTCGAGGGAGAGCGACCTGTCGATGTTGTATTCGAGTTGACACCGGAGGCAGCGTTCGCATAAATGCAGACAGTCGTTGGACGTAGTCTGATTTAGCGAAATTAGGTCTGCTCCGTGGTGTGAAGAATTCTCCGGGCAGACGCAATGTCGTGCCGTATACCATTTCAGCGGCGGAACATTGGATATCTGCCTTTAAGTTCGTTCTCATCCCTAAAAGAACGAGCGATAAGGTTTCGTGCCAGTTGCCATTTTCGTGTGCTCGTAGAGCACTTTTAAATTGGCAGTGAAACCGTTTACTTAACCATTTGGTGCTGGGTGGTAGACGGATATGCTTATGCGTATGCATTCCGTACCAAGCAGCCGGGTCAGCGAGGAGAATCGTTAATAGGGTAACATTTGTCGAATAAAGCGTGGAATTCATCATCACGCGAATAAAAAGTGACAAGGATTCGGTACACATATGTGTGAGTCTATTATATTAATACTATTCTTATCGTTATCCGTCATGTCGCGTATATTATATATTAAAAAATATGAAAATATACGACAGACGTGGATAGATAAATCATAGACTCACCAAATTGGCTTCTTTGGAAGATTTGATCAGAGGATGAGGCGTGTTCCAAAATACGGGTCACCAATTGTATTCGAATTGGGATTACCAATTGTAGCGTGGCGTCGAGTTGAGATTAACTATGAACACCGCTACCAAGAAACACGTGCCAATTAGATCAGAAGGCGTAAGAAGCTCGTTCCAAATGACTCCATAAAATCCCCGAGAAGCCAAATATCAGAAGACAGTTAATGGACCAAGTCGAGGTTTATTAGCTGGCGATCTCGTGGCATCGAAAGGATACCGAGATCGTGCCAGGATACAACCTTGGTTACAGAAGGTAACCGAATTCGCGCGAAGTTACAATCGAAGTGTAAGTAAGTGAATGGAAGCACAAAATAGCTGTCATTAGCACAGTCAAACAAAAGCACGTTAAAACAAACACTGGTACAGTTGGTTATAATAATAATTGTTTTTATTAAACCAGTCGTGTTCTCGTGATAAACGTGAGTCACTACAGGAGCCCCCCGCTAGAAAGGGTTTACACTTTCGATAAATAGCGGTTTGAATCGTGGGACTGGTCGGCTGACGAGCGATTGTAGGACGGAAGAATTGGCGAACAGGAAAGCGATCGTTGATCGTCGAGTTGCCATCGAAGGTCGTTTTCGGAGAACGGTACCAGGAGCGATGTGTTGTATTTATTGCTTGAGTTGGCATGCTATACCAGAGTGGTTTGTATCCAGAATCTGAAGAGGGCGTTCGTAGAGGTGCGCACCAAAAACGCTGGAGACGTAGGACGAAACCACGTTGAGCCAAAAGACCAGAAGCGACCGTAACGACCAAGTTCGAGACCAAGCGTATGCCAAGCATTCGAAACCAATATATCGACTGAGTACGTTGACAAGAGCATGGGTGATCAGGCCAGCTTTCGCCAAAGTTGACTGAAGTCGACGGAACCAAACGGAGATGATCGAAGGCGTGGGCTCAGGAAACAAAAAGAAAATCAAAAAAAGAGGAGTGTAGCATGCGTGTAGTATAGGAATAACCCTACACCGTATCGGTTGTTGACTGTGCAACTATTCGCGGAAGCGTACGGGTAACCGTACTCGGCGACCGGAACGTGAGACGACAGTCTCGTTCACGTCGCGTGAGCCTGCAATCTCATCCGAAGTCGAGGGCGGCGTGGTCTGCTGATCTGGGCGTGAGACTGTCGTCTCGTCCGTAGACGGTGCAGATGACGCGTGCTGTTGACTGGGACGTGAGAATGAGGTCTCAGATGTATCTAGCGTGGGACCCGAAGAAGATTTAAGGATCCCGCTAGGTTTAATAGGTCTAGCATTGAATCTCAGGTTACCAGATAGGGCACTGTCATCGACGTGTGCTGGTTTGAGACGATCAATGCTGACGATCTCGACGCGTCCATATCGATCAACCTTGAAGGTATTTTCGTGACGAGCGATCACGTGAAAAGGGCCTTCGTAAGGTTGTTGCGAAGGTTTGCGTACCGAATCTACTCGTATGAAAACATGTGAACAGGTAGATAACTCTCGAGGGAGAGCGACCTGTCGATGTTGTATTCGAGTTGACACCGGAGGCAGCGTTCGCATAAATGCAGACAGTCGTTGGACGTAGTCTGATTTAGCGAAATTAGGTCTGCTCCGTGGTGTGAAGAATTCTCCGGGCAGACGCAATGTCGTGCCGTATACCATTTCAGCGGCGGAACATTGGATATCTGCCTTTAAGTTCGTTCTCATCCCTAAAAGAACGAGCGATAAGGTTTCGTGCCAGTTGCCATTTTCGTGTGCTCGTAGAGCACTTTTAAATTGGCAGTGAAACCGTTTACTTAACCATTTGGTGCTGGGTGGTAGACGGATATGCTTATGCGTATGCATTCCGTACCAAGCAGCCGGGTCAGCGAGGAGAATCGTTAATAGGGTAACATTTGTCGAATAAAGCGTGGAATTCATCATCACGCGAATAAAAAGTGACAAGGATTCGGTACACATATGTGTGAGTCTATTATATTAATACTATTCTTATCGTTATCCGTCATGTCGCGTATATTATATATTAAAAAATATGAAAATATACGACAGACGTGGATAGATAAATCATAGACTCACCAAATTGGCTTCTTTGGAAGATTTGATCAGAGGATGAGGCGTGTTCCAAAATACGGGTCACCAATTGTATTCGAATTGGGATTACCAATTGTAGCGTGGCGTCGAGTTGAGATTAACTATGAACACCGCTACCAAGAAACACGTGCCAATTAGATCAGAAGGCGTAAGAAGCTCGTTCCAAATGACTCCATAAAATCCCCGAGAAGCCAAATATCAGAAGACAGTTAATGGACCAAGTCGAGGTTTATTAGCTGGCGATCTCGTGGCATCGAAAGGATACCGAGATCGTGCCAGGATACAACCTTGGTTACAGAAGGTAACCGAATTCGCGCGAAGTTACAATCGAAGTGTAAGTAAGTGAATGGAAGCACAAAATAGCTGTCATTAGCACAGTCAAACAAAAGCACGTTAAAACAAACACTGGTACAGTTGGTTATAATAATAATTGTTTTTATTAAACCAGTCGTGTTCTCGTGATAAACGTGAGTCACTACAGGAGCCCCCCGCTAGAAAGGGTTTACACTTTCGATAAATAGCGGTTTGAATCGTGGGACTGGTCGGCTGACGAGCGATTGTAGGACGGAAGAATTGGCGAACAGGAAAGCGATCGTTGATCGTCGAGTTGCCAACGAAGGTCGTTTTCGGAGAACGGTACCAGGAGCGATGTGTTGTATTTATTGCTTGAGTTGGCATGCTATACCAGAGTGGTTTGTATCCAGAATCTGAAGAGGGCGTTCGTAGAGGTGCGCACCAAAAACGCTGGAGACGTAGGACGAAACCACGTTGAGCCAAAAGACCAGAAGCGACCGTAACGACCAAGTTCGAGACCAAGCGTATGCCAAGCATTCGAAACCAATATATCGACTGAGTACGTTGACAAGAGCATGGGTGATCAGGCCAGCTTTCGCCAAAGTTGACTGAAGTCGACGGAACCAAACGGAGATGATCGAAGGCGTGGGCTCAGGAAACAAAAAGAAAATCAAAAAAAGAGGAGTGTAGCATGCGTGTAGTATAGGAATAACCCTACACCGTATCGGTTGTTGACTGTGCAACTATTCGCGGAAGCGTACGGGTAACCGTACTCGGCGACCGGAACGTGAGACGACAGTCTCGTTCACGTCGCGTGAGCCTGCAATCTCATCCGAAGTCGAGGGCGGCGTGGTCTGCTGATCTGGGCGTGAGACTGTCGTCTCGTCCGTAGACGGTGCAGATGACGCGTGCTGTTGACTGGGACGTGAGAATGAGGTCTCAGATGTATCTAGCGTGGGACCCGAAGAAGATTTAAGGATCCCGCTAGGTTTAATAGGTCTAGCATTGAATCTCAGGTTACCAGATAGGGCACTGTCATCGACGTGTGCTGGTTTGAGACGATCAATGCTGACGATCTCGACGCGTCCATATCGATCAACCTTGAAGGTATTTTCGTGACGAGCGATCACGTGAAAAGGGCCTTCGTAAGGTTGTTGCGAAGGTTTGCGTACCGAATCTACTCGTATGAAAACATGTGAACAGGTAGATAACTCTCGAGGGAGAGCGACCTGTCGATGTTGTATTCGAGTTGACACCGGAGGCAGCGTTCGCATAAATGCAGACAGTCGTTGGACGTAGTCTGATTTAGCGAAATTAGGTCTGCTCCGTGGTGTGAAGAATTCTCCGGGCAGACGCAATGTCGTGCCGTATACCATTTCAGCGGCGGAACATTGTATATCTGCCTTTAAGCTCGTTCTCATCCCTAAAAGAACGAGCGATAAGGTTTCGTGCCAGTTGCCATTTTCGTGTGCTCGTAGAGCACTTTTAAATTGGCAGTGAAACCGTTTACTTAACCATTTGGTGCTGGGTGGTAGACGGATATGCTTATGCGTATGCATTCCGTACCAAGCAGCCGGGTCAGCGAGGAGAATCGTTAATAGGGTAACATTTGTCGAATAAAGCGTGGAATTCATCATCACGCGAATAAAAAGTGACAAGGATTCGGTACACATATGTGTGAGTCTATTATATTAATACTATTCTTATCGTTATCCGTCATGTCGCGTATATTATATATTAAAAAATATGAAAATATACGACAGACGTGGATAGATAAATCATAGACTCACCAAATTGGCTTCTTTGGAAGATTTGATCAGAGGATGAGGCGTGTTCCAAAATACGGGTCACCAATTGTATTCGAATTGGGATTACCAATTGTAGCGTGGCGTCGAGTTGAGATTAACTATGAACACCGCTACCAAGAAACACGTGCCAATTAGATCAGAAGGCGTAAGAAGCTCGTTCCAAATGACTCCATAAAATCCCCGAGAAGCCAAATATCAGAAGACAGTTAATGGACCAAGTCGAGGTTTATTAGCTGGCGATCTCGTGGCATCGAAAGGATACCGAGATCGTGCCAGGATACAACCTTGGTTACAGAAGGTAACCGAATTCGCGCGAAGTTACAATCGAAGTGTAAGTAAGTGAATGGAAGCACAAAATAGCTGTCATTAGCACAGTCAAACAAAAGCACGTTAAAACAAACACTGGTACAGTTGGTTATAATAATAATTGTTTTTATTAAACCAGTCGTGTTCTCGTGATAAACGTGAGTCACTACAAAGCAATTGGTCAGTCTCTTATTGATATTGTATGCATCCTGTGCGGATTGCTTCGATATTACTTCCCGTCACAAACATTATAAGCTGACATGATGGTGGCTAGCAGTGGGATCTAGGATGTGCGTTTCATCCTATCGTCGCAGCTTGTAAAAATACTAGTTTGTTTCAACATACAGTAAGGGGTTTATTTTAGAGATGGAAAGTAACGATATCCGTTACAGGAGATAAATAATGGTTAGATAATTTACTGAAACTTAAATTCCGCGTTTATGCTTTATGTTTCATAGTTTGGAGAAAAGGTCTACTGTGTATACTGGGGCTAGACAATGTTATTATTATGCTTCAATTTTTTTCATTTTTAATTTATCTATTGATGTACCATTAAAACTGTGTGACAAAGAGGTGAAGTATGATAAGCTACCCAACTGACCTCATAGGCATCTATTGAGATAAAATGAATTCCCAGTACATCTTATTTGTGTACATATAAGAAGTTTTTATGATAATTAGAAGTATTCGAATTAATGTACTAACTAAGAATGTCTGAAATAGTTCAATTCTAGGCAGGTAGAACTAGATGAACACAAATCAACGTATTATATTTGTAATTCGTAATATAGCACGAACAAGTACAAAGTAATCATCAGTTAGTAAAATTACCACAGTTTTCTAGTTCGTATGCATAAACTGTTAAAAGCCGTTATCAATTAAAACTCACATTCATTACTTTTTAGATTATCTTGAGATTACGAAAACCTTAAAGTAGTATTTTAGCGATTCGTTTTATTTTTATTACATGAAGATCTAAATTGACTAACGGTGTGTACTTCAATGAATTATTTTCAAATTCTAAAAAATTATGGGCAACAAATGTAATGTTTTGTAATTAACCTATATTACTAAAAATACATGATTGCCGTCTGAAGATGATTGGTTAATCAAAAGCTAAATTATGAGTACAACCAAATAGTGTATTTAATAGCAGTATTATTTCCAAGGCTATCGATAATTAGTTGCCACTTTACAACTGCACAATTGAAAGTAAGTAGAAATAAAAACATGAGATTAGTATTTTTCTTCAAGAAATGAACTTCTTCAGAGTGATGTTCTACCATCTTATAAATTTGAAGATTTTTCACGGAAAATATGGTCATAGAATGTATTGTGAGTGAGAAGGGATAGTAAAGATACCGTTTAGTAAGCCGGTTACACAGAAAAAACTTGAGATTGTTGGCATTTTTCAAATAGGTGATTAGACTGGTGGACTTTGAAGACTGACATATAAGTTACCATTTTAAACATAAACTTTGTACTATATAAACAAAAAGCGAATTTTACTGAAATTATTGGATTGTTGAGAATTATCCCTGAATTGTAACGATTCACCACAATCATTTCAGAGTTAAATAAGATTTAATTTTATTAAGTTGGTTCAGAAAACCATGGAGTCCTGACAAAACACCAAGCTTTACAAAGTATGTCTTATTTGTTATACTACTTACAAGTAGCATTGATTGTTCAGAGTAAAATTTACGAAATGCAAATTGATGGTTATCTCGGATTCAAAACATTGTAGATAATCGATAGCTACCATAATGTTAAGGTCTATCATTAGACCTAGGTTTTATTTAATTCAGTCTGTGGATTGTTTTTTATTAAATTAATAGCGTGAAATATTATTTAGTACTAAGTATTTAATTAAAAATTAGGGAAACTATAGGCCTACAAATTGGAGGTTTATAATACATATATAGTTTGTATACTCTATTCTGGATTTAAATGAGATCTATGCAATATTTAGCTAATGCAACAAACACGAATGGTAACATATAGACTTCAATCGAAAGGAAGATCTGTTAGTTGTACAGTGAAAAGTACAAACCACTTGCATATTTATGAATGCACTTCATGACTAAATTTCATCACACCATAAATGAATTTCATATTTTACGGGAATATTTCGATTTACCTTCAGAAACTTATTACCATACTAAGAAAAAGTGGAGAAAATCAATTTGTGTTTTTTAACAAGATATAATGTTCTACCTATGATAACCTTCACTGGATTCAAGAGCAACAATCATATTATGGCGAAGGTATATATGTTTAGTGTATTTATAATCATTTCTCCCCATATTATTGATCAGTGTTTCAGAAACCTTATGATTTGAATTCTATGTTTCACATGAAGACTATTGAATAGCTAACAGTACAAAGGTTTTTTCTTCCTTTAGGTTATATGTTGGTGGCTAAACAGTAACGCAACATCCATATCAACATATTCAGAATTGACTTTAATTCAAGAAACATTGTAAATTAATTCGTTTTAGATAGCTACTACATCATGAATAACGTTAGTTTGTTATGTAATTTCTGTTGTAATATATAGGAAATCTCTATAAAACCTGATAACTTGAAAGCAATTCTATGACCAATACTAACCAAATTTCTGTTTGAATTTTAATAGGAATCAACTTATTGATTGTTTGCCAATCATTAAATTGAAAGGTTTAAAGTTAAAAGTATAACCATTGGATTTTAACATAGTGTTTCAACAGTAGTATGTTTGGTAGGGGATCCAATTTCCTTGAGTTAGTTTCCTAGTAAAATGCACTGTTAAGTGAGTTTAGAGCTAACAATTACTGGTGATCTAGTGCCTCGTGTTTACAGATAATATGATCTCATTAGTAAAATTACCAATAAGTCGATAAAATAATAATCAATTTATTTCAGAGTGAGGTATATTTTTAAGGTTCGCATTTCAATATATATTTAATAAGTATAAATACTAGTATAAATGGGCAACAAAATAAATATGAGCCACAAAAACAAAGAAATGAAATGTCAAGGAAATATATATGATGGAGACGGGACGTGATCGAAATAGATATAGAATAGAAAATGTGTGTATAGTAATAGTTTTTAATAGAAGAGATAGTTCAGTTTTAAAAAACACACAACC